TGAATGGGGGTCGTTTGGCTTCTTTGTTAGCCTGCAATGTCCCATACCTGTCTATGTCTCTGGAATTGAGGGAATTGTTGGCTTGGCTGAATAGGTGAGCTCTTCTGTTCCTCTGTAAAGGTCTGGTTATCCTCCCCCAGCAGTGTGTAGCAGTGAGCTAGATATTTTTGAAGTATGTCCAATATTGAAGCGTGGTCTGCGCTATGTTATTCCACGCCATAACGACAACCAGAGGGCCAATCAGGAACTAGCTGTGGGTCTAGATACGGCCGAGGCGGTGAGGAAGTGGGGGCAAGTTTGAGCGACATGAGGGCCAAAAAGAGCGGGGATCCAGGTGGAAAAAGGGTCCCAGCGTTCTCGCGCACCTCGCTGTGCTAGCTGCTCCATCTTCACCAGTCGTTTTCCACAATGGCGGTCAGACAAACAAAACAAACCAGCAAGGTACCAAACATGAAATTCACATTAGAGACTGAAATTTTTTAGGAAATCCCACGGTGGGAATCCCGTGGGATGGGAGTCAGTTTTAGTAACGATCACTTGATCGGGACGGTACAGGATTAAACATTAACGGGAGCGGGAGCAAACCAATAGTAACAAAAAAAACTAGGATCGATGCCAAAAAATAAAATAAAATAGAGAGAAAAAAAATCCAGTACTGGCGCCGCCATTTTGTAGTTTTTTTTCCTTGAAGCCTACACTATAATGCGAGTCAAAAAAACTACACGACCCAAAAACCAACAGTGCTTCCGCTCTGAGTTTTTCACCCGCGCTCAAAAACAACCATGGAGGGACCAACAGTTAGTGGCGAACTCGGGACGGGACACCATTTTTTTCTGTGGGAGTGGGACTGGACAGGAGTGAAAATCCACTCCTGTGTCATAGTGTAGAGTGGATGTAGATTTGACCAATCAGAGGCTTCCTGTCTGCGACACAAGCAGACGACCTGGTTTCTGAGTATAAATCAGCCTTAAAGGGGTGGGGCTGCGATGATAGTGGGAAAGAATCAACTCTATCGCTGTTTAAGGTTGATTTCTCTTTCTTAACATAGATGGCTTCCTTCACGCCGCTCTCAAAACGTCTTCAAACTTTGAAACAAAGTCCACTGGATATTTTTTTTTTTTACTTTTTTGGAACGACTGTAGACGTAGTTGTACTTTTAAGGACAAACAAAACCTTTATGCGGTGCCTTGGAAACGTTTGCATCCTGTTCAAACTGTTGAAAACATACCAGGCAGTTAAATGCATCGAGTTTAAATCAGGAGGAAGACCGTAGTAAGAAGCACCGCTCTTTCATGGTGAGGATGATGTGTTTAGGTTGTTTTCTTGTGGTATTTTTGCACAGCAATGTCTTCAACGCAAAATGAAAAATATTATACTTTACAATACCACAAAATATAAAAACTATATGATTCAACTGCCTTTTTTGAACTATTTTAATCAATCATGTATCAGTGATGATTTAACATTATCATTACTACTATAAGATGTCAGACATAGAGAAATCTTCATAGACTAAACCCCTACATGGAAAACTACAAAATAGTAAACTAGCAAATAGTTTACTTTCTATAAGCCACTTAATAGTTAATCTATCAAGACAGTTTTTCACCTGTGAAGCGGATCTCGACAGTTCATCCAAACTGACCCGCTTTCTGATGGTTCCTTGAAATTCAAACTAATGTTTGTTTAAAAGAAAATAAAAAAGCCTCTTAGGCCTTAAAAGGACACCTTTATGTATGGTGCCATTATTCAGTCAGACCAGCATACCCATAGTCAATACGCATGCGCAAGACGTCAGAGTTGCATACGTGTATGCTAGTCCCATTCATTCCTTTAGTTTATCCCCGTTTACGCCTTTAGTTTTCTAGGAAAAATAGACTTTAAACTAGCCTGGTGAGACCATCCTGATCTCGCAAGCTTTCAGGGTTTCACTCGCAGATCAGTCTGGAGACTCTCCGTTGAAGAAAATTTGGAGCCGTTCACCAAACGAACGTCCAATCAGCGTTGGCTTTGAGGCGGGTTGAGGTGTGACGCAACGAGAAGCGCCACAGTTCAGTCTAAAGAACATGGCGGCTTCAGCCAATGAAACTAGCGTTAGCGTGGCTATCGAGCAAGTTTTATCGGAATTACAGAGTATTTCTTCACTGAAAGAAGAGCAATACACTGCTCTGGAGGCTTTTCTCAGAGGAAAAGATGTTTTTGCTCTTCTCCCGACTGGTTTCGGCAAGAGTAGCCTGGCTGTTAGTACGTCATATGCTTCGTTGATCTGATTGGTTTATTTGGCCCGTCTATCACCAACATAGGCCAATCAGCTAACCAGTATTTTCGCCCCTTCCCAAAATTACTTCAACGGAGGGTTTCCAGATGGATATGTGGAGCAAATCCATCTGGCGGAGTCAAGTTAACTTTAAACTACCTCAACGGGCGTCTATCCCTTTAGTCATGTACAAAAAAAAAAATCTATTTAAGGCCAGATCGCCATACACTTAAAAAAATTAACAACCAGAAAGTAAGTAATTAAATAGCTTTTTTTGTCTGACTAAAGTGATACATGCCCATTGTGGTAGTTTACAGTGTATTTTTTGTACACAACTAAAGTGATAAACTAAAAAGGATTAACAGGTATTGACTGACAGAACACCGTCAAAGCAAACATTACTTCTTAAGAACTTATACTTTACGTAACAGAGAAAGGGAATATAACTTTACATCATTATTTATTTATTTGTAAAATATGTAAAAAAAAAAAAAAAAAGCAGAGGTATTAAAAGTATTTATGTTTATTTCTCCAGTTGAAGTATAAATCATTTTTTCTACTTTTGTAGAAGTTAGAGGATCAACTTCAGCTTTTTTTCTCCAGTAAATGTGTAAAAGTACCATTTTAAAAATTAAAGTATAAAAGTAAAAATAATGCAGGAAAAAATGTTGAGGACAGAAGCTTTACTGCTCTACCCCATTAAAGGAACATTTTTCTACAATTCTGGATGATAACTTCCTTAGAATTTATTTTCTTAGTTTTATAACTAATGGTAACAGTCACATTTAACTTTGCATCTTCTAGAAAAACTATTTATTTTGGTTTGTGGTGAGCAACAAGTTGGGGCAGCACCGAGTCCAACCACAGAGAAATTAATTGTCTGGATGAAACTAACTATTTTGATGGTTTTTATTTTATTTAAATACCAACAGGCCATAATTAAAATGAGCTTCATTGAAAAAAAAACTAACGACTCTATTTTTAAAATGTAAGGAGTTGAAGTAAAAAGTTGTTTAAAAAATAAAATAATTCCTCCAGTAAATTATAGAACATTTCTACTGAAGGTAGCAAAGTATGTTTACTTTGTTACTTGACACCTCTGATAAAAAAAAGGCACAAACTAATTTAACTTCCTAATTAGGTGATGAATTTTTATTATTCTATTAAACTCATCTAAGAAGAAAGTCTGTGGTTGTAATGAGAAGTTTAAAGAATGCAAACAACTTCTACAAGGCACTGCATAGGTTCTACAACTATACCATTGTGTTAGTGTTGTGTAGTGCAGCTGTGATTTAATTGACAATCATGTAGAATTATTATTATTATCATTTCAGATACTCATATGTGCATACAGTTATGTAACACTGACAAGGCCAAACTGTTATCAAACTGGACAAGTGCCTCTAATATGCACAATCTTCTTCTCATTTAGGGAACAACAGTGCAAGATTACCTATTGTACAATTTTTTATTTACAATTTTCTGTCAGTCACCAGCCATTTAAAAAAGCACAGGTTTAGTGCTCAGAATTACACACGCAATAAGGACCCTCATGTGGACCAGCCTTTAAGGTCGAGCAATTGGCCTGCCTCTTAAAACAAACTCAACAGGACCACCATTTGAGCGCCGACCACAGATTCACTGTTTGTGTGGAAAAGTTTGAGAAAAGGGACCAACTTTTTACCAAACAACTGCAAACACACTGCCAACAACCTCTTAAGATCTGCGTGCAGTCAGTTGAATCTGGCAGAGAGAGCAGGCTGCAGGCAGGCTGGCTGCAGGTAGACTGCAGGCGGGCCGGCTGGCTGCAGGTAGGCTGGCTGGCTGCAAGCAGGCTGCAGGCAGGCAGGCTGGCTGCAAGCAGGCAGGCTGCAGGCAGGCTGGCTGCAAGCAGGCTCGCTGCAGGCAGGCTGGCTGCAGGTAGGCTGCAGGCAGGCTGGCTGCAGGTAGACTGCAGGTGGGCCGGCTGGCTGCAGGCAGGCTGGCTGCAAGCAGGCTGGCTGCAGGCAGGCTGCAGTCAGGCTGGCTGCAGGTAGACTGCAGGCGGGTCGGCTGGCTGCAGGCAGGCCGGCTGGCTGCAGGTAGGCTGGCTGCAGGTAGGCCGGCTGCAGGCAGGCCAGCTGCAGGCATGCCGGCTGGCTGCAGGCTAGCTGCAGGCTGGCTGGCTGCAGGCAGGCCGGCTGCAGGCTGGCTGGCTGCAGGCTGCAGGCAGGCCGGCTGGCTTCAGGCAGGCAGGCTGGCTAAGCACCAACAGGGGCACAGCTGGTTTGTCAATGATCAACAACCGAAAAAACGAAATAAAAACAAAATAAAGACAGAGAAATGTTAACTGTGAAGACAGTCAACAATGAGGCCATTAAAGTGTGCTACTTAGTGAGACGTTACAATGTGTGTTTTGAACACCATGCATTTTGTGGCTACTTATCTCAGTGAGGTGTTCGGTGGTCGTTTCTATCGGTTTGTAGTTTAGGGTTTTTTGTTTTGTGTGTATTTTGACTAATGCAGGTCAGACTTGTACACAAATAGTGATAAATAAAAAAACCCAGAAATAATCAGTTTCCAGTGAGTGTTGATTTATTCATCTTCTCAAATCAGCTGTGGTTAAAAACAAGATTATAATATTAATCTCTGCTAATGCTAATAAATACATGGACGACTAAAAATCCATTTAGAAACTAACATGACTGAAAAAGAGACCTATGGTGAAGAAAAAAAGACAAACCTTAAGGCACTGATACCTTGATATTTGACAATTAGGTTTCTGGATCAAACAAACAATCAGCAATTGACTGAAATTGACAAATGTATCTTTGTTTGGTAGATAATCTGCTAATTCTTTCATTTTTTCCTGGACTCAAAACTATTGTCAAACTGCATGATGTTGGTTTATGTTTTTAATATTTATTGACTTAGTTAACTTAGGTTGACAAAGTTTTTGTAGCTTTTTTATGCGAGTCCTTCGCCTTCATCCATGTTAATCTTTGCAAGGCGTAAAATCAGAACAATAATATACATTATTGGTGTTTTCTTCTGTTTTTTGGAAGACAATCCCTCAGCTAATATGTCGATGAGTTGAAAATGTGTTGATAGTTTTGAGTAAAATCATTTATATTACCAGATGTCATGCACAAGAAAAAAATCCCAAACCCGCAGGACATCAGTCCTCAGTAACTAGCTTTGGATGAATGTCCAGACCCCTGTGGTTTTCTCAAAGGGAGCCAAATCTCAGCCAAAACTGTAACAATATATGACATTCAAGATGCAACTAAATCAAGATGCTTGATTTCTATTTCTTAAGGCTTAATATTGAGATTTTTAAAACGTTTTAGATGGCTTATGGTTGCTATTTTTATTTAGGAATTGCTCAGATATCAAAGAAACACTAGAGCAGGATCCCAGTGATAGAACCACTAACATGTTTTAGCACCACAATAGTACATTTTCTTCACCTTCAACATGACAGACTAAGATGGGAAATACCATTTTCTGCAATGAGGTCCACCTCTTTCAAAAAGCACATAACTGTTTTCAATCACAGCACTGATGAAGTTTCAGTTTGAAATACGACCTCTAAAAAAACAGAAAGCTGTTGTGCAGTGAAGGGGAACTTTTACTGTGCTCCAGTGCTTCTCAAGTGGAGTCAGTGTTCTGTCTTAAACTTGCTGCCCCCCCCCACACACACTGCCATTGAATGTCCAGCTCCGCAGCCAATCACAACAGGCCTGAGATCAGAAACGAGGCGAGGATGAAAGACGTCAGCCTGCGAACCGTCCCCACACATCCCATGCTCATTCCAGCCCCACGACAGGAGCCGCCCCCCTGTAAAAAAACACAGGACAGCGGTCTGTGGTTAGTGGAAGCAGAACGCAGAGGTGAAAAGGCTGAAATAAGACACCTACAGGGAATAACACACACATTAATAAAATAAATAAAGGGAGAAACAGATCAGAGCTTCTCTGATCTCCAAACACTCAGCAAGGAATAAAAACCTGCCTCGCTCTTCACAGCTGGAGAGCTTGTCAGTGGGTGTGGTCAGGTCCGCATCACCGAGCAGACACGTGCCATGGCAACACGGTTACCTAATAGGGTCCGTTGTCATGACAACAGAAGCCAGCTTGCTTTCTGGAGGGTAGCGCGTCTTGGTGTGCTTGCCGTTCGCTGCGGTCTGTGTGTGCGCCTCTTATGCCGTGTCTACCATCTGTACCGTCAGCTGACCTCACCGTGTCTTTGTCTTCGTCTCTTCAAAACCTGATTTTCCTAACAGGCGCATACGCTTTGAGCTGTTAGCAGACCAGGATGTCGCAGCAGCAGCAGCTTCTGTCTGTGTGACGGTCTATAAAATGTGGAGACGGTGCATGGAAGCAAACTGTTTGTTTGGCATGCTCTATAGTTACCATGTTCATTGAAAACGACTTCATGTGTTGAAGTGTCACACTGAGGAAGAGAAAGCCTCATTTTGGAGCTTAATTCATGGACTCACTGGCGATTGGACAGCACATCAGTGTTTCCATGGCAACAAAGGGTCTGAACAGTATTCTGTGCATCGTACGGATAACAAATATAAAAGAAACCTAAAACATGAGCCGCTTCCAAGTGAAGAAATCTGGCCAATGGGAATTATTTTTTTACTATTAAAATAAAAAGAGTGACACAGCACCACGGCTGGACCTTTTACAGCCAAACATGCATGACTTTAAAAAGATTAAAGCACATAAGATGGAACCTAAGATGTTTGTAGTTGTGGTAAATTGAGATAATCATAATGACATTTTTCCTCAGATTGGATGAGCTGTGCCCACAGAGACTTTGGCCTATCGCCAACCTCTGACCAACGACGACCAGTTTCACTATTGACCGCCTCTCGCTCAGGTGCAAATGGGCACGAGCTTGAGCAGGCAACAGATATAAACAGCGTGCAATGCTCTCTATTCTCTTCCGCCTGACCTACTTCAGCACCAGAAATAGCAGCACTCAGGTCTGTGCTTCCAATCTTGTTTTGCTATTTCGCTGCTTCTGCCACCAAGCTGAAGACAGGAGGAGGAATTTAAAAACGAGCAGATCAAGAAGAATCAGGGAAAAACACGAGCCCTTCCTCTACACCAGGGGTCTTCAATGTTTTCCAGGACAAGGACCCCAAACTGATGGCGAGATGGAACCCCTAATTATATATAGTATGAAATTAAACTGGTCCTATAGTCACTCTATTGCAGATGGAGTAATGTAACTAAAGTAATTATTAAAGTATTTCTGATTCCTGGTTGATGGGACAGGTGTTGTGAATGAAACGGTGTCCAGCTTGAAAGAGCTCCTGTGTGTCTCTGAATGTGAGCATTGATGACTGAAAGACATCTTCTGCCTCCATTTATCTGTTTACTACAGTCTGTTGGATTCATGTTAATGTGGATTTAAAGACGTTTAATTAGTGGAAAAAAATGCAGGAGGGAATATACAAAAAAAAGTCTAATCAACCAAAACTTTCAGTACCTCTGTGGACCCCTAGGGGTCACGGACGCCCTGTTGAAGACCTCCGCTCTACACGCCATGCTGAACTTCATCCAGTACAGAGCAGAACTTTCTCACATCATGGACGCTCATAATGCGCTCTACAGGTTGTTAATACTTATTTTATTTTTTACAGTCCGTTTAAAAAAACTGACAGCTGGTTACTTGGAGGCTTGCAGCAACACCAGTTGCAGGTCTTCTCTGTAAAGGAACCTTTTAGTCGCATTTCTTGTTATTGTCGTTACAATATTTGGCGCCGTTTGTAAAGGGAAGCAGTCAAAATTTAGGAGCAATATTTATGGTTAATTAGCATGTTTTAAAAGAAAAATAAGGGGGTTGTATTTTTTCATTATGTCATTCATTAATTTATAAAAAATTTACTTTATTAAACAGATATTCAATTTGGAGCTAAATATTTAGTTTGCAAATTACATATTTAGTTTGTTAAATATATATTTAGCGGCGCCGCATATTACATCGTCACAAGTAAAGAGCAATGAAAATCATTCTCTGCATTTAACCCCTCCCCTTGGGGAGCAGTGGGCTGCCATTGTGCGGCGACCCAGGGAGCAGTGTGGGGTTAAGGGTCTTGCTCAGGGACCCACAGTGGCAGTCTGTAGGAGTGGGGCTCGAACTCAGAACCTCTGTTTCCCAAGCTCTACGCCCTAACCGATAGACCATCACTCCCCTATATGTCTGTGATATTTTTATTCATGCTGATGTAAAAAAAAAAAAAAACATTTGAAAATTTAATCTGAAAGATTTTGCAGCGAAGACATTTTTTATTACTTGCTGGATGCTTTGAAAAGTAGGAGAGATTTTTGAAGCATGTGGAAAACAGTGGCATTCCAAATAAATCAAAGCATCTTTGGAAAAGTTGTTTACCAGAAGGAATTAGAATCCAAAAAAAATCAAATCTATTCATCATCTATTGATTAATTACGTGTAGCAAAATGTTTCAGCCATTTATTTCTGCTAAGGTTGATCACAGCTTAATGTGAAAGAAAAGGCTGTTTCTAAGACAAAATTAAACATAACTTTGATTAAAAAAAAGGGAGTTTTGAAAGATTTATGTTACGTAATATTGGAGACAATCAGATTATATTTAATAGATATCCAACAGACAGTGAATAAAAGGCCATCAATAAAAAAAGCTGGCTGTGCTGTTTCCATGTGGAGTCATTGTTTGATGGAAGGAAAGATTGAAGCACAAGGAAAAAAGATCAGGCTTATCAGCCTTATGAGGACGGCCAAGCCAAGACTATCCAAGAGTTTGGGGAAGATTCACAAGTTAAAGACTGAAACCGCAGTCAGAGCTTCAGAAGCCTCACAGTCAGAGCCGTATCCAGGACATGGATTACAACCGTCGCATTTCTTCTGATAAGTCAGTCCTCAAAAGTCTGTCACATCCATATTACAAACTGTTCAATAAATGATCAGTGTTTTTAATTCAGAGTAATTTTCATGTGAATGTGCTTTACTGGAGGCATCCATGTTTGTCAAAGAACACT